AAAGGTTACCTGGGATTTGCAGCCCTTTCTACCAAGGTGTTGATATTTTAGCTAGGGTCTCTAATTGTGCTGAAGAAAACTGCTGCAAAGGTTTAAGACCACCCTGACCTAAGACTGACCATCCCTCAGCCAGTGATTTCAGGATAGGAAATAAGAAATAAGCGTGAGTTTGTGTCTCAACCACCCACTTCACCAGCCTGAACACAGTGGAATGTATCAGAGGAGTAACATCTTCCATTACTGAAACTTGATTCACCAGACTTAGCCACCAGGGCCCCATGATAGAGTGGACAAATGCCTGGAAGCAAGAACTAGAAAATGCCAAACTTTCCCCCAACTCAATTTCAACAGGCAGCCTCTTGTGGGCAATGGGAGGAGACAGAGCGCCTTACAGCCACGGGCTGCAGGCAGCAGCACAACAGCAGCTTTACTGAGCCCTTGGAATTAGGCAGATAACACTGAGAGGAGTAAAATTATACCCAATTTATTATTCACCTCTTATCTTGTGGAATGTTGAGTAAGTTTCACTCCATCACCCCCCAGCAGAGTACCTGAGGACACCCCCTAACACACCCAGTGACGTTGCCTGCAGCTGCCCCCCATTACCTGTGCGAATTTCCCGGTACACATCACCCCATTCCAGCGCGGGACAGTGAGACACCCGGGATGACGCAGCAAGTAGTTGTCTGCTCTGCCTATGAAAGTGTCCGGATACCCTGTCACCGAGCCGTCCAAATCATGGAAGATAGACATTTTGTCACCGTCATTATCGTTGTTTCCAAACCATTCGCCTGATCTGCCAAAAAACACCTTCAGTCCAACCTAGCAGGAGAAAATAAGAAGAAAAATTACTGGTTAGCTCTAAGTAAGGACTCGGGTTTGCAGTGTTTTAACAACCAAAACAGTGATACAGCTAGAACTAGAAAGCTCTATTGCTTGAGTAAGAGTTGTTTTGCCTCTTCTATTTAGAAAAATTTCTGACTGTATTGGTTTTCCCCCTCATTTCTTAATCCCAGGAGATATTTTCACAAAAATTAGACTTTTGGTTCTTTGAAATGCACTCACGCAACCATGTATTCCTTGAAATCATACAGCAATAAATTATGTGGTGGCAAAAGGAAGAGGATGACTCAAAGGGAAGGGAAGTACTGAAAGATTATGAAATTGCCTGAGGAATATCACAGCTGTGGTCAAAGAAACAAAAATTGCTAGATATTTGGTGAATTTTCTCATATATTTTCAATGGCTGTTCTAAGCAGTTCTGTGAGTACCATTTTTTTCTAATCGTTCCCCTAAAACCTTATAAAACTCACAGAAGTTACAGCAATTCTCAGAATTGGCTCTTGTGCAGATTCTAATATCTCCCCTGAAGAATTTTTTTTAGGAAAGAGAAATTTAACAGGAAGCAGCATTATCCTCGTTATGCATAGCTCTGTTTTCAAGATTTTTCAGTAGCTAAGTAAAAGAATCTGTCCTGATATGAAAATCCAGCAAAACAAGGAAACTGCAGATGTTCAGCAAAAAGGCTTGGTGTATTTTAATGTCTGCGGTGAAAACTATTACAGTGTGCGATGATTAAGTTCTGAAGTAATCAAGAAAATAATTACTCCAGGTCAAGCACTCTGAATGACTCCTGCAGCAATGTGTATAAAAGCAGACGGCATAAATAGCGACTGGATCATGCTGACCCAAAGGACTGTAATTCTTCCACTTAGCCCAACTAATTTTAATGGGACTGTGCACATGAGTAAGAATTAGGGTCAGCAGGATTAGGCTGCAAGTTTACTAAGGGCTTTAAAGGCTTTATTTTAACAATAATAAACAGAACAGCTTAGGAGAATAGGAGGGTCATTGTGATTCTGAGTTAGATGGAAAGTCCCATTGGCTTAAAAAGAATGACCACTGCAGCAAGAACTACTTGCAGAATAAAAGTCTTCATTCCTTTAAAATTAAACTAGAGCCTACAACCATTTTTCTGTCACCTTCTTGTCTAAATATGAGTCTCATAAACAAACACCTGAAGCAGTCTCATTTAAAGGAGGCTCAAACATATGGAAATTTAATGTGTATTTTTGAGTGTTTTAAAACCTTTTCTTACTGCACTGCAGGAAACTTTTGCCCAAAGGGCTACTTGGCAAAGTAGGAGGATCCAAAAAGTTGGGGTTTTTCTTTCATTTTAATTTATAAAAGAGGAGATATTAAAAAAATGTAAACACTGTGCTGCAGCTCAAAGCTCCATTATAAATACTTTGTGACAGTGCACTTCTGGAGTTGAACATGAAAACGGGCACTTCACTGGGGAGGAGAACAAAGTCAGCCGTACTTCAAAACAAAGCAAGGCACAGCCAGCACAGCTTACACTTGATTAACACTCTCAGTGTTTCCATCCAGCAGCAGACGGTTTTGGTGCTAATGCTAATCTGATCTCTAACATTCTCCTCTAAAAAGTCTGAAAGTCAGAAATGAAATGGAAATATTAATGAGCAGTTTCACTTCTTTCATAAGTCTCAAGGTTACCTTACTTTTGTATGCTGAGGGATAGGGGTGCACTGAGTTTGCAGTTACAGCTATGGCAACATATGTTTTTCTTCTAAGTGAACACACTGAACAGAGAAAAGACTCAGCTGGTCAGGTATGTCCATGTGGAGCTAGGAATGAGCTAGAAGAGGCTGCAGAGACACGTCATGTCTAGCTACCACACTACTATTCAGACACCTAATTTTCATCAGGCGTGGGCTACCTGGGAGTTACTTGAATTACCTGTCTGAAGCCTGACAGGGAGCCCTGACAGATGATGGTTATGTGAGTACATAATCTCTTAGGAATGTGCTAACTCAACCTGTCCAAGGCAGCACACCTAACACAGTTGCAGACAAGTCCTGAAGACTGCAGTGGAAAACACTGGCTATATTAAAAATTAATAATGTACTGGAAAACATCACAGTAACTTGCAACTTTTTCTAAAATTCAAGTATTGGCACAAGCTGCTAAAAAAAGCCGTATCACTGTATTACTGTTAGCATTTTAAGAAACTCACTTTCAACCAGTGTGAATCTTCCTCTATTTTACCACCCAAGGACTCTGCCCTTGTTAGCATGTCTTTTACTCTGCTGGAGTGATGCAAGCCCTCAGCCTGCAAGTTCCCTTTGGTCAGGAGTCTCTTCAGTGTTTGGGTGGTTTTTTGCTGCCCTCTTTTTCAGGGGATAACAGACTTGCTAAAGTTATTTGTTAAAGTAACTCAGTCTCTGCTTTTCTTTTTCCCATCATGAACTGTTTGCAAACTGCTGCTTTGACGCAGAAACCCCGCGCTGAGACAACACAGGCTAAACATAGTAAAGGCAACATTAGGAAGTGCCCATCTCTTAGCTAAGCAGGACTGCAATCCCACGGGAGTCGCTAGACCACAGCCAGGAGCCAGTGCTGACCCGTCTGAGCTCTTCTGGGGACTACAAACCCACCCGACACAGACTGCTGGGATTTCTTTGGCACAAGTAATTTCAGAGATGCCGTAGTGTTGGCACAGCTAGGAGTAGAATAGGCTTGAATCCACCCTAAGCTCCTGGCTGCCCGGAGAAAATAACCAGAGGGACTATTAGCAATGGATGTGAATTGGGACACTTTGTGAGTCTTCTGCACCTGCTGGAGGTGGCCTTATTCATGGGAGCCCAAAAGGTCACGTACCTCTTGCTCCTCACCTCACTCTACAGGAGCTGTGCAGAAAAAGGACAGAGGGATGAATGGGTTGCTATTTTATGACTAAAAAGAGAAATGTCAGGTCTTCTTAAGAAATGATGCACAAGTGTCTTGTTCGGGCACGGCTCTGTTCTGGGCTGGGGCCATCTCCTTTGAGCTCTTCAAGTCCTACTAACTGACAGTAACCAGATCTACAGGAGACAACAACCATCAGTCGCCCTCAGCTGGGTTAAGACCAACTACTGCTTCCACTGCTTTGAAATAACTTTCAAAAAGTACCCTTTTTAAAACAAACCAACCAACAAACAAGCCTAGCAATAATTTTGCTATTGGTAAATACACAGATATCTCAATATGTGAGATTTAGGTTTGTCAATGGAAAGGCAACTAGAATACTTTTTGTGGAATGTAATGTTTAGGTCTTCTGTTCTACTTGACTGTTATTTCTATGCTGGAATTAAACAAGAGTGGCTCTATTATTTTGTTGTCTAACCAATCTGCTGATTAGCCTGATAAATTATACAATTATTCCTTCAGCATGACTAATAGTTTTGTCATCACTATGCAACGTGCAGTAATGTTTAATTTCTTCTTAAAAAACAACTGTAAATTGATTGTCCTTTAGGGAATTAATACTTAGCTACCCTTTAAAAAGTAATAAAATGAAGCCTGGAGATGGAAAATTAATTAAAACAGTCTACAGGCTCTATCTTAACTAGTCAAAGACATATTGTCCCATATAGCAATTAGCAACAAAACAATAAACTAACTGTGGTCCTTCAAGTTTGAAATCAGATTTAGCATGTCTGGGTTCAATCCAGATAAAACAGAATCAAAGTGAAAAGTGCTGGGATGCAGGTGGTTACAAACATAAATGGTTTTTAAGTTGGCAAAATACCAACTTCAGAAATGGATATTTCTTGGAAATGTACATACAATAAATAATTATTGGGATAATGTCATTAGTTTTTTTGTAATAGGCTGAAACTGTACTATTTTAATTTGCTTTGCAGAAGTATTTAGTAAGTCTTCTGATCATTTTTACCTTGAAAACCTCAGATCTTAAAGGCATTGCAGTACTAAACTGCCTCTCAGACAAAAAATGCTGGGATATTTAACAGGCTCATGGGCTTCAAATGGTGCAACTGTATTAAAGAGCTGCATTTTCAGCCATTCAAGAGGTAATCATCCCCTTTGCTAACGTGCACAGATATTATCTGTCTGAAACCATTCTGTTGGACAGAGTCCTACATCCATTACTGGAGGAAAATTTCCACTCTCTTCCAGTCCACTGACGGAACTTTTTCATCACACATTTTTCTCTAAGCTCCCCTCCCCAGTTCCACGTTGATTTTCTCATTCATGTTCCCCATGATCACCTTATAACCATTTCCCCAAGGGAGGACATAAAGAAGATAGAGCAAATTAGCCCTTATTCTTGTTCCAAAGCTCCCTAAAGCAACTAAGGTAACTAAGATCTCTTTACAGAAATGCACAGGAACTGTATTTTCTTTAGAAGAGCAGTCAAGTGACTGCAATCAACATCATCCTTTCATAAAATTCCCTCCTGTTGTTGGTCTGAAGTGTACCAGAGAGGGGACAGACAAACTAACTGCTTGCCAGAGGGAGTGATATTGGTCAATCCCAGAGCAATGGGAATTTTCCTCAAGATAAAGCCAAACCTCAAGCCAAAGTTACTACAGTTCATGGACATCCTAAGAAGCATGGACCTTGTTTGAAAAAAGCTAAGGAGAGGTTATAATCCCTGGGAGCGAGCCAGGTGGAATCTATCGTTTCCCAAGCTAAGTGTGCAGGGCCACGATCCCTGCAGGAATCCAGGACAAGGATAGGAATTGCTCAGCATCCTACAGCTCCTGCCAAGGCAGAGATAGAGAGCCCCATTCTGCTGTCACTGCTCAAAGGAAGTCCCTGTTGTGCTCAACAGGAATTTCACTGCTGACCCCAGAAACTGGGCCATGGCTTTGCTTCTAAGTGCATTTCCTTATTTCTGTATCAAAATTGTATTGCAGCTTACTGCCTCCTGACATCTCATTTGTGTTTCCCTCAACCTCTGAGGCCAGGTCCTCACCAGGTCCTCAGCATATATAAGCTGGTAATGCTGCACCAGCTAAGAGTGATGTTCTGGATTTTCTGGTTACCAGGTGAAATCTTCCTCTAATGCACACTTTTTAATGTATGTCTGCCCAGGCATAAGATACCTTCACATTTTACTGGCTTATAAATAACCTTCATTAAAAATAAGTCTTGCAAAATGAATCGATGGTATGCACCAATGTAACATGCACCACTGCCTGGAAATTCCTGCTCTAGGATAAATCTCTCACTGCTTCTAAAAGCTTTAAAAACTTGCACATCCAACAGCATGCATTCCTAATTTTCTTACTCACGCTTTTCTCCATCAGGATCTGCGACACATTATTCTGGGGGCTTATCTGCCAGGAGTTTTTCATGAAGAACCCGATGGCACTTGAGTATCTGTCAACAGTCGGGGTGAACTTCTTGAAAGTGCATTTTGCCATCCTGACAGGCCCATCATAAATCTGGAATCCACGAATAGGGAATGTCCTGTGAGATTTAACAACAAACACAATCCCATGTTAAAAGCTTGGGCAAACTCTGAGTCTTCTCCTGAAGGCACAGAAAGATATTAACAAGTAGCTAAACCACCTTTCCTTTCCCAAAACTAGGATCTGGATGCTCATCACACAGTTAATGAAAGATGAAACTCTGCTGAACATCCTCTACAGGATAAGGCTCAAGGGCCAAAAAAAATGACTCATACAGCTTGCCTAAGTCTTGTAAGCTGGGGTAAAGCAGTTTAAAACCCTTGTCCCCAGCCACGCAGGGCGTATCACCACGAGGAAGACCCAAAGGGCTGTGTGGCAGCATTGCCATCAGGTTCCCTGTTCCGGGGTAGATGGGTTTCTCAGGAAAACACCAGCATGATTGAAAAAAGGATATCAGTCAGACTCCCTGGAGGCAACAGCGTCTCCCTGGCAGTAAGTACCAAGTGGTGCAGCAGAGTTTCTCCTCTCCATACAAGCCACTTCACACGAGATCCCTAGGACCTAGCCCACAGCACTTCGTACAGAAAAGCGATTTCTGTAGCATCAGTCCGTGGACATGTTGTCAAGACATTAGTGTTGAAGGAGGCACCATTGGGGTCACAGGTAAGGACCTGCCCCTTCCACAGTTTGTTTTGAGAAGGCACCAAGTTTTGCTTGGCCCCAGTTGTGTTTGATTGAAGGGTGGCCTGCATCCGCTTCGCAGACGGTAATCAAACTGGCTAGTAGTGGCGTGGAAGGGTAGGTCAGTGCCTACCGAGTCCAGAAAGAGTTGTTCAGACATGAAAGCCATAAAGTGGACATCACATGGGCACACAGCGTCTCTCCAGCCTGGGGGTCACCGAGGCCCAGATTCCCCCCATCCCTGATGGTTTTCCTTACTGGTTGGCTCCAGAGATCCAGAAACACTTTGCCAATTGGAAACACCAGGTACAAACAGTGTTTCTTGACCAAATAATTCTTCTTCAATTTCCAGAGCTGTTATCCCAACAGTTGGGATCCCCACATCCCATTTTGCACTATGGCATAATGAAAGGACGGATACCAGATGTTTTAGCATACTCCTTCCCGAGAGTATATTGCTTAACAATATCACAGATGATTAGAGCTTGCTTGAACTGCAAAGGAGCTTTTTTGCAATTGCAATTAAAATAACAACACTGATAATAACTGAGGATAGCTCTGATT